AAGAACTTGGTTCTGAACACTAATCTGTGATATGAAGAATATTTCAAGTAAGAGGGGAAACGTGGTGTCCATAGTTAACCACAAGGTGGCAGTGTAATGCTTAAGTGTTGAAGTGCTGCTGAGGAAGAAGAAAAAGGTGATCGGTTCGAAAAGACATGTTTGACATGTGTTGAATAAAAAACCTTGAAGGAATTACTCTGGTCTTGTGCTTCATACTACAAAACACAACAACTTTGTTGTAATAATCAGCATTTCATAATAATAATAAAAAAGTATATATTTTCTAAAAATATCTCTTAAAAATTATGACAGAACCATTACGAACCAGATTTGTTAAGAGGGCTCCCATACAAATTTCTTTCTGATCATATCGGTATCACTTTTGAGTCATCACAACAGTTAAAATCTGTCATGACAGAAATGTGAGGAAGCAATACTGCGAGTGAAATCTCTCTTTATTGATCAACAATGAGTGAAGAAATAATCAGCTACACGAGGGCGATGAGTGGCGCAGGGACCTCGACGGACAACACAGGTGAATGGTGGTGACGTGATGAATTTCGATGGTGAGAGTGATGTAATCCAGACACTGAACGAGGAACTGCAACACCGAACGGAAACACCGACTCGCGAACGGCAACAGGAACAGGACACAAGAGACAGCACGCGGAGACATCAAACAACGATCTGACAATGGAGAGGAGAAACCAGTGAGTATTTGAAGGTGAGTTGATGAGCTGTTGATGAGCCGCAGCTGGCGTGCTAACGAGAGTCAGCTGTCGCTGATCAGAGGAACCGGTGACACCCATACACATACACACATGACAACAATGACACGAGACGAGAAGGAAACAATGAATTCATGAACCGTGACAAAATCATTTCCCAGGATAATTTTTTATTATTATTATTAAACAATTAGTCATATTGCCATGGCAATATCAGTACATCTTTGCATTAGAATATACAAAACAGGTGCATGAAAGAAATAAAAATACAACAGGAATAATAATAATAATAATAATAATGTATAGTAATAATAGAAATAATAAAATAATAGTTTCTCTCGTACTGCGTAATATCTTACGCTAGGGGAAAACCTCTTTTCCACGAGATATTGAAGCCAAAAATGATCCTTAATTTTGAATTAATGTAAAACGCGTTGCGGCAGCATGCAGACATAGGCAAGGCGGCTCGCGTGCCTATTGGCTGTCCTGCGGCAACTGCAGCAGCCTATCGAGAGAGGCCCTTGGTGACGTCAGAACCAATGGGGGCTCTTCGTGCCCACTACGTCACCTTCCGTCAAAGCGGGCGTGGCCTGGGCCTATAAATATAGCTCGATGGGCTGATATAATCAGATTTTTCATCTCTTCAGCGAAGCTCACGCATCGCTGGATCCGGAGTGAAGAAGCCGCGCCGTCTGAGAAAAAGCTTTCTGCGGGACGAGCCTTTGCATCTGAAGCCGCCGGCCTTCATCTCGCCGCCTTCAGTCGCCGTACCTGCTACGCTTTCCGCCGTTTATATCCTTTTTACTCTGCCGAGTGTGTGTTCGCCGCTGCGACTCACTCTCTCTCTCTCTCTCTCTCTCTCTATCTAAAAGAGCAGCGTCTTTTTTAAGATGCCTCGTTCCTGTGGCTTGTGCCGAGCCGCACTCAGCGACGGGGACCGCTATTTCATCTGCGTTTCCTGCCTGGGTAGGGATCATGCAGCTCTCGCGCTCGCTGACGGCGGCTGCCATCATTGCGAGCTGTTGCCATGGTGACTCTGAGGACTCGCCTGGCATTTTTTCTCCGATTCTGCACTTCCGCCCGCTATAGTGCCGCGCCGTAAAAAGCGTCGTACTCAGCGGGTCCCCGAGCCTTCTCCAGCCCATGAAAGCTCGCCGGTTCGCTCGCGAGTTTCACCAGCTTCACTCGAGTCGCTCACCGACGGACAACGGCCGCCGTCCGCCGCCGCTTCCACCATTAATGACGACGAGATAGCTGCATCTGTAGAGGAGGCCAGCTGATGGACCTCCCCCCCCCCTCTGCCCGCGAGTCGTCAGGGAAACGGGCCAGCATCAAATCCAAGCTGATGCGTCTACTCTCGCAGGCCGTGGCGAGCCTCGGCCTTGAGTGGGCGGCGCCTGCGCAGCCCACGCACACCCGCGCCTATGTTCTAGGCCTATGATTGTGAACCACAATAGCCACATATATGAGATCATTTAAATATAGAATAATTTTTTATGTCATAGCTCAATATGTTTTGCAGCATTTAAATGTGTAAATATAGAGGCCCAGTATTTATCTGGAGGTCTTTGTACTGGTTTATTAATGTAATTTTATTTTACGCTTATGTGTTCTATGATATGCAATGGAAGTAAATTTTAATGTTTAACATGGGTGTATTCACAACACATAGCATACAATATAATATAGTAAGATTATTCATCATTATGTTGTCTCTGCCTTTTCTGTTCTGCCCTGTTTTCCATTGTTCACCCTGCCTGTCTTTTTCCATTCTTAATAAAAAGCTGCAAATGGATTCCCCTGGCCTGACCCTGCCTCGTTATAACACATATGCTGCATCTGCTCGCTATCTGCCGAACGGCTCTGGTAGTTCCGCTTCAGCACTGATGATGTTGTAGGAATAGTGCCCTCTGGTTGGTCTGGATTATTAGGAATTTTTTATTTTATACAGAAAAATGTATTTATAATTCAGACGAGATATATATATATATATATTTATATAAAGACACAGAGAATATTATTTGCCTTACCTGATTAGAACAATGAAAAAATAATAATAATAACTAGGGAATCACTAAACCGAGAGAATTATTCTGATTTGATGGTTGTTATGGGTAGACGTGACTGAATTGTCGTGAGCAGATGAAAGCACTCAGGAGAGGTTGGATGAGTTTGGTTCAGATGGGATATTTTTTATTTTTCCCAGTTAAGGCCAATGCAAGGCAATAAAAAATTAACAAAAAAAAAAAAGAAAAAAAAAGAAAGAAAAAAAAACTGTTTAGTAAATAAAGTAAATTGACATGAGAGTAAAAAAAAAAAAACAACAATCAAATGTTACAGCTGTTTGAAAATTGACCTTAACACAAGTCACTATATTTAGCATAAAGACAGACTTATGTCCTCTCACTCACGCTCCCCCCGACAGAATGACAACACTAAACTTTATAGTCCTGAGGTCACCCCTGGAATTGGAACATACCAACACATGATTATGGTGCAGGGGTGGCTCAGCTGACAAAGACATAAATGCTTAAAAACAGCTAAAATACTACTTCTATGAAACTAGAAAATTACAGAATATTATTTCTACATTTTCAGCTAACAATTGACAAGCAACAAATCATATTCTACAGCTACAAATAAATAACTCAAACTCCGGGTCAATAGCAAATGACCCGGAGTTTGAGTTATTTATTTGTAGCTGTAGAATATGACTTGTCATAGCGTCATTTAAACCCCACAATCGCGGCAAATTTTCCTTTACACAAACACACCGGAGACGTCCGTACGACAAAGATGGTATGTCAAAGCTATGTTTCTCTTAAACTAAATAAACGGATACATACTGAAAACATGTGTTGCGTGATTATTGTAACTGATTATGACTGTAACGTAAATGACATGATTTTCTTTAAAACGGCAAGATATGTATTGATAGAAGTAGCTATAGCATATAAATCACCGCAGTACTAGCTGTTAAAAGTGTGCACACAAAAACTACGGGATATATGAGATTTTGTAGTGAAAGGCTAGATTAACAGCAGATTTGTAACAGTATAAATATTAACAGAAGACATTAATGTGCTAGACAAACACATACAGGTCACATTTGCACTCAGTCTTTGTGTACTGGAATAGGCAGCATATCGCTGCCGTGACGATAGCTATGCGCCCCGTCACACACCCCCCCCCCCTTAAGAGCGAACGTCTAGGTCCATCTCATGACGTGAAAGAAAGTCAGCAATAACGTTATCCTTTCCCGCTCTATACCTCACAGTAAACCTGTATGGCTGCAAGGACAGGTGCCATCGGGTGATTCTGGAATTAAAGTCACGCATACGGTGTAGCCATTGCAAGGGCCTGTGGTCTGTCTCCAAGACAAACTCTTTGCCAACAAGGTAATATTTTAAAGTGTCCAGAGCCCACTTGACGGCAAGGCACTCCTTTTCAATGGTGGAGTACCGAGTCTCGCGAGGGAACAGTTTGCGGCTCACAAACTGTATGGGTCTTTTGTCCTCCCCCTCACCCTGCAACAACACTGCTCCCAGTCCAATGCCCGAAGCGTCGGTTTGCACCGTGAAGGGTAAGGAAAAGTCAGGACTCTGTAAAACTGGTTCGTGGCACATACTCTCCTTAAGGTCGTGGAAAGCTGCCTGGCACTCCGCAGTCCAGACCACCTTATTGGGGCTGGTCTTACGAGTGAGATCTGACAAGGGAGCTGCCCGGCTTGAAAAGTTGGAAATAAAGCGCCGGTACCATCCGACCAACCCAAGAAAAGATCTAACCCCCTTCTTGGTTGTAGGCGGCTGGGAGTTGCGGATGGCTTCCACCTTGCTGACCTGAGGACGTATAGTACCACAACCCAGGACATATCCCAAGTAGCACACTTCAGCCCGGGCAAGCTGGCATTTGCTGGCATTCACTACCAACCCGGCCTGACGAATCCTTCGGAAGACATCACTAAGATGTTGAAGATGTTCTTCCCACGACGAACTGTGAATGATGACATCATCAATATAAGCAGCGGCATGGTCCTCAGCGCCCCTCAGCACTTCATCCATGAGACGCTGGAATGTTGCTGCTGCTCCATGAAGGCCAAAGGGCATGACCTTAAACTGGAATAATCCAGATGGAGCTTTGAAGGCGGTCAATTCTCGTGCTTGGGCGTTGAGTGGCACTTGCCAGTACCCTTTACACAAGTCCAAGGTGCTGAGGAACTCAGCCTTTCCCAGGCGCTCTACCAGCTCGTCTACACGAGGCATGGGATATGGATCAAAAGCTGAGATGGTATTCAGCTTCGAAAAGTCCACACAGAAGCGGAGCCCCCCATCCTTTTTTGGTACCAGGACCACGGGACTGCACCACTCGCTGTGTGATGTCTCGATCACCCCCATTTCCAGCATCGCCACCACCTCCTGCTTCAGCGCGGGGATCAGTCGCGCTGGAACCCTGGTGGTGGTCTGCCGGATAGGACCGACCTGGAGAAGTCAGCCGGATGTCGTGGGCGATGACGTCGGTTCGCCCTGGCTGGTCTCGGAACAGGCCTCTTGGGATGATTTTCTTTAGGTCCTCCTGCTGTTCATTTGTCAAATGGGTAACGGAGGGGTAGGTTGACTCGCCGCCCACAGTAGGAAAGTACTGCTCCAACGGCTCTTCTTCCTCTTCCACGGTCCGCGCCCACAGCTGATCTTGGACAGAAGATGTTCGATCAATCCATTGTTTTAAGAGGTTCACGTGGAAGATCTGTTTAGAGCGACGTCTGTCTGGCATTGAGATTTCATAGGTAACCTCACCGACCTTGCGAAGTACCTTGAAAGGGCCTTGCCACTTTGCCAGCAAACTGCTTTCTGATGAAGGCAACAGCAGCAGCACTTTCTGTCCGGACACAAAGGTGCGACTACGTGCTGTCCGATCATACCACGTTTTCTGCCTCGTTTGAGCCTGAGCCAGATGTTGGTGAGCCCTGGAACTCAGCTGGTCCAGCTTCTCTCGCATTTTCAGGACATAACTCACAATGTTGGTTGGCTGATGAGGAGCGTCCCCCTCCCAACTCTCTCGGAGAATGTCAAGTGGGCCTCTCACTTCCCGCCCGAACAAGAGTTCGAAGGGGGAGAACCCGGTGGATGCCTGCGGTACCTCTCTGTAGGCAAACAATAGGTAAGGAAGCCACTGGTCCCAGTCAGTTCCTGATTCCGACACGAACTTCCGCAGCATCGACTTCAGGGTCTGATTGAATCTCTCAACCATACCGTCGGTCTGCGGGTGGTAGGGTGTGGTTTTAATGCCCCGAATCCCTAACAGGGAGTACACCTGTCTCAATGCCTTACTGGTGAAATTAGTTCCCTGATCAGTTAAGATTTCTTTGGGGACACCCACACGGGAGAAAAGTTGAATCAAACTATTGGCCACTTGCCTTGCCTTAGTATTTCTGAGGGGGAATGCTTCAGGGTAACGTGTTGCGTAATCGCAAATTACCAAGATATAGCGGTGCCCTGCCCTACTCCTCTCTAAGGGACCAACTACATCCATAGCGATGCGACTAAAAGGCGTGTCAATAATTGGGAGACTGATGAGGGGAGCTTTTAAGCCTCTTTTGGAGCGAGCAGACAACTGGCACTCTGGACAAGACCTAGAGTACTCTGCTATGTCCCTGTTAACACCTGGCCAATAAAATCTTTGCAGGATTCTCTTCTCAGTCTTCTCCCTGCCTAGATGTCCTGACCATGGAATACTATGACCTAGGTGTAACACTTTGGCTCTTAGAGTCTTAGGAACCACTAACTGCTCTGTGTCTGTACTCACTCGATACAGTTTCCCATTATTGATAACAAAACACCTGTCACCCTCCCTCATGGCATCCCTAGCCTCATCATCGGTCTTAACAGAAGAAAAGCAAGAGCTAAATGTGGGGTCTTCCTGTTGAAGCTTCTTGAAGTCTTCAAAGACTTCAATGTCCTCTAGCTGTGGAAAGGACAGACTTTCCTGCACCAATGTACCTGCCACCTTTGCTCTACGCTTCTCTGCCTTGGACTTTTTAGGTTTATCACCAGGACAATTCTCAAATGGTAACTCTGACCACACGTTGGAGTCTATTTTGGTATTGGCCTGTGCTCTAGTTGTAACATAAGCACTGACTGTGTTAACACTCTGCAATAGCTCTGTAAGAACTGGCACATCCTGGCCTAAAATCACTGGGTAAGGGCATTTATCCAAAATCCCTACGGTTAACAAATATTTTTGACCATTAATATCTATGAGAACCTCACTGGTCTGGTGCTCAGACTCATCACCATGGACACAACGGACTCTCACTTTGCCCACAGGCTGGAAATCAGACCTCAAACAAGATCGAAGCACGAAAGACTGACTACTTCCTGAGTCAACCAAAGCCTGGACTATCTTTCCACTTATCTTCACAGGGACAGTAACATCAGAAGACACACAAGGTAAGTGCTTGCTAGGGCCAGGTAGGTAACATAGTCTGGAATCAGAAACTTTCTTCAGTGTACAATTGGGCCTGATGTGACCTTGTTGACCACAACCGTGACATATAGGTACTCTAGGTGTTCCAGTTGGAGTGGGGCTAACATTGGGGCTATTGGATGGTCTAAACACACGACTATTACCACCCGCAGACCTACCAGGGACTGTCTTCTCTGGCTCTCTTTGGGCTGCTTGGTAGGGTCTTCTCCAGTCCTGTTGTTGTAGACCCAGATGATAGCCTCTTCTGGATTGTCTGGCAGCCATGAAGGTCTCCACCAGATCTGCTGCTTGCACCGACGAAACCGGAGTGCGTTCCCTCACCCATACTTGAAGCTCAGGGTACAGCATGCCCAGGAACTGCTCCAACACTATTTGGTCGCACACTTGTTCCCTAGATTGAGTCTCTGGAACTAGCCACTTCTCCATCAGGTCCTTTAGCCGGGCTTGAAGTTCTTTCGCCGTCTCCCCCTCCTTGATTGACTTGGAGCGGAAACGCTGGCGGTAAGTCTCGGTGCTGATGTTGAACTTGTTGAGAATGGCTTGCTTCACTTTCATGTAATCTTGGCTGTCTTCAACACACATGGCTACATAGGCAGATCTGGCCTTACCATTCAACAAGGGCACAAGGTACAATGCCCAAGTCTCCTGTGGCCACTGACTCGCCGCTGCCAGCCTTTCGAAGGTGGTCAAATAGTGTTCAATATCTTCATCCTCTTCATACGAGGACATCCTAGGGGGTTTCCACCCCCGCTGGAGGTTTAGAGGTGTGGCAATGCCGAGAGCAGTGGAGTTGAGGGAGCTCTGCATCCCTGGTACTGGATGCTGATCTGGATGTGGCTGAGGAGTTGGTACATCCAGAAAAGGCATATTGAGTGGATCAAAGGCTGTCGCAGGGCGGGAGCTGGGCGGGTCCATCTGTTGCAGTCCGGTGAGTGGCTGCTTCGTCGCCTGTGTTAATGCTGGGTCGCCTCTCACCAGTTGCTGTAGTTGCTTGAATTGATGCTCCATACCTTTCCATCTCCGATCTTGTCGAAGCGCCTCTGCCTCTAACTGGTCCTGCTGATGCCGCTGAGACTCCACCATAGTTCTTACAATCCTCTCCAAGCGATCTGTCCTGTCTTCGACCACCGGAGTGTGATGCTTGGATGACTCTGTGGATTTAGGCCTAGCACCCATAGCTGAACCATCTCTAGGGGGTGCCGCACCTCTGTCTTGATTGTCCATCTTGACTCCCCGAGTGCTGCTCGGACACTGTTTACCCGAAAACCGCTGCCACCAAATGTTATGGGTAGACGTGACTGAATTGTCGTGAGCAGATGAAAGCACTCAGGAGAGGTTGGATGAGTTTGGTTCAGATGGGATATTTTTTATTTTTCCCAGTTAAGGCCAATGCAAGGCAATAAAAAATTAACAACAACAAAAAAAAAAAACAAAAAAAAAACTGTTTAGTAAATAAAGTAAATTGACATGAGAGTAAAAAAAAACAACAACAATCAAATGTTACAGCTGTTTGAAAATTGACCTTAACACAAGTCACTATATTTAGCATAAAGACAGACTTATGTCCTCTCACTCACGCTCCCCCCGACAGAATGACAACACTAAACTTTATAGTCCTGAGGTCACCCCTGGAATTGGAACATACCAACACATGATTATGGTGCAGGGGTGGCTCAGCTGACAAAGACATAAATGCTTAAAAACAGCTAAAATACTACTTCTATGAAACTAGAAAATTACAGAATATTATTTCTACATTTTCAGCTAACAATTGACAAGCAACAAGTCATATTCTACAGCTACAAATAAATAACTCAAACTCCGGGTCATTTGCTATTGACCCGGAAGTCATAGCGTCATTTAAACCCCACAATCGCGGCAAATTTTCCTTTACACAAACACACCGGAGACGTCCGTACGACAAAGATGGTATGTCAAAGCTATGTTTCTCTTAAACTAAATAAACGGATACATACTGAAAACATGTGTTGCGTGATTATTGTAACTGATTATGACTGTAACGTAAATGACATGATTTTCTTTAAAACGGCAAGATATGTATTGATAGAAGTAGCTATAGCATATAAATCACCGCAGTACTAGCTGTTAAAAGTGTGCACACAAAAACTACGGGATATATGAGATTTTGTAGTGAAAGGCTAGATTAACAGCAGATTTGTAACAGTATAAATATTAACAGAAGACATTAATGTGCTAGACAAACACATACAGGTCACATTTGCACTCAGTCTTTGTGTACTGGAATAGGCAGCATATCGCTGCCGTGACGATAGCTATGCGCCCCGTCACAATGGTACACTCAAAATATTTCACAACAAAACCTTTAAATTTAATAATATTCAGACCAGAACACGAATACAAAAATAACTATAATCAAGCCAAAACGAAATAATTTAAAACAAAACTGAAAGTAGGCTAAACGGTGTTGGGCTCATGTAAATCTCTCTTTAGAATCAAAATGTTTCAACATTTGCGATGTATTTCGATGCTAAACTATTCTTTATTATACGCTTTGTAGCTACTTCACCCACGTTCTAATATCTATCGAAAAAATCATCCTCTTCACTTGCAGAAAAATGTTTTTGGAAAAATCACAGTGGAGCGGTGCTTACTGTGAATGATACGAATTGTATGACTATTTAAATATAGAAGTGTAATTTTTATATGTTAGGTTGACTATTTTATTATTATTTATTATTAACGCTATAGTGAACAGGCTGCGATGTCAAGATTGCAATGATGGAATGTGTGTGTGTGTGTGTGTGTGTGTGTGTGTGTGCGTGAGTCCCAGCAAAGATCAGCAGCATGGGTCAAATTTCATTACAGAGAGTGAAGAGCTAGTCTCAGCCTCAGACGTCACGCCCACGGAACGTTGGCTAAACGTCTGATGCATATGGTACACTTAACTGGAAACACTTCAGGAATGTCGAAGTCGTCATCTGATTGGTTAAATTTTATCGGATTTCCGGGGGGGGCGCGAGTGTCGCGAGTGTCGCGTTTATTTTCGGACCGCCGGGAAACAAAGCGCAGACGTGTGATTGCGGAAGAAAAACTGTTGTGTTTACATTAGTGACAATGAGCATTTATCAAGATCAGCTAAACGTAGGATTCTCAAAAGTATGCGAGGTTCACGGCATAGACTCTTGAAGTTTTCTTCTCCTTCTTTGATTTTCTATGCTGACTGACTTGTTGCACGCCGGTCTGTTGTTGTGGGGAGATTTCCGCGCCCCGAAACGTGACGCTGAACGAAACGAACTGTAATTGGTTGTTTGACATGTCGGTCAAACGGCCTTATGGGCGGGCCTTGGCCAAAGAAAGCTGCTATGAATTCCAGACCTTCAGCCGTCAGTCTGAAGGTTTGGCTACGCGAGACTGGTGAAGAGCTGACTGAATAAATGATGAGGGAATCTGTCATTATACTCTTTTGTTGTTGTGTTTTCCATGAAAAATAATAGGCCATTGAACTCACAATTCAAGCAATCGGCCCCAGAAAAGGCGGTAATTTTAAAAGGAAACTAACAGCTGCACGGGCATTCATAACGATGCGCATACACGGCGATTTCATTTATAAATATAATTTGGACACAAGAGGGCAGTATAGCCCTATGTGTGATTTTGTGTTTAAACTAAACTATCACCCGAAGAGCCCCCCTCCCCTCCCCTCCCCCTCACACACACACACACACACACACACACACACACAGTTTGATCGCGCCTCTCTCTCCCTCTCTCTCTCTCAGACACACACACAGTTCGATCCCGCCCGCACACCTGTCGCGCGCGCGCACACACACACTACAGCTTTGCAATCTTGACATCGCAGCCGGTTTATTATGCTGCGTTCACACCAAACGTGAATAGAGCGAAATGTATCGCTATTTAGACTGAATAGATGATAAAGGAATATTTTGTGTAAAAGCGCCTATTTAAGCGAATCTGTCATTATACTCTATTGTTGTTGTGTTTTGCATGAAGAATAATAGGCTATTGAACTCACAATTCAAGCAATCAGCCCCAGAAAAGGCGCTTATTTTGAAGTGAAACTAACGGCTGCACGGGTATTCATAACGGTGCGCGTCCATGACGATGAGCGAGCAGAACAGAGCGAACGTTTTTTAGTTCATTCCTACTATAAGAATTCCCTCGAGTGCTCTGAGCGCGCCACCATTATCAATGTCCGTGTGGACGTCCGTATTTAAAAGCTCTCGCTGGTGTCACACGGTGGGAAAATATCCTTAGTCACATACCAAATATATGTTTAAATATTATAATTTTGGACACAAGAGGGCAGTATGGCCCCATGTATGATTTTGTGTTTAAACTAAACTATCACTCGAAGAGCCCCTCCCCCCTCCCCACACAGACACACACACAGAGAGAATGGCAGGTTGCATTGTCAGAGAGAGACAGAATCCACATTCAAACCAAAATATCTGACTTTCTGTTGTTTGTAGCCAGAGGTGGAAAGAGTAATAAAATATTCTACTCAAGTAAAAGTACTACTACTTCAATGAAATTTTACTTAAGTACAAGTAAAAGTACCGGCCTAAAAATCTACTCAAGTAAAAGTAAAAAGTAGCTAATTTAAAATTTACTCAGATTAAAAGTTACTGAGTTACTTTTTTAACAGCGGGTGGGGGAATCCCCCGTGTAGGGCTGTAATGGTATGAGATTTTCACAGTATGATAACGTCTCAGAAAATATCACGGTTTACAGTATTAATCAATTATTAAAGGTGCTATATGTATTTTTTACCGCCTCTATCGGTGATGTTTCAGATTGCAACCAATTTTTACAAGAGCGCTCGTGCTCTTGCGCGTGCTCGAACACAAGAGCGATCACTCATGGTACCGACCACACTGATAATTTCAACACACCGGAGAAAGCATCACACAACATGCTGGAAACTCATGTAAACTCCCACTGCAACTTTATAATAATAGGCTGCTTTTATCAGCTTGACGTTGAACTAATGCTCCATGCTCGTACCATGATAACGTTACATTTGTGGTGTTATCTAGCATAAGGCATTTCACTAACCATTCGTGTATCTTTCACAATCAGCAATGTCAACATAGATGAATGTATAATATGATAACGAAAACGGTTAGTGAACTAGACTGAACAATTTCAGTGTAACAGTAAGATCGTAGGAAGTAACATTACTGTACTGAACGTGTCTGGAAATGTGTATTATAAACAATATGATAGTAGTGGGATGAGTGACGTTAGACAGTAGATCTAGTACATAAAATAAAAGTTACATCCTAAAGCACCTACTTTTTGTTATCCTGGAACAGGATATTGGATACCTGGAACAGGTCTTTTGTATTCATTTCATGTCTCATGTATGTTGTAGTTTACCTTGCTATTTCATTATAGTTTAACATTATTTCAGCATATCTGAAAACTTGTAATTTATCACAATAAAAATAGTGGAGGTCTCTCCATAATTCAAACGCTCTGCCGATGTTGATCCGTGTTTTCGTCCTAAGTCGATCCGATTCATGTTTGACCTGACGAGTTTCAGCAGATACATTTTTGTTTTGTTTTGTTTTTATATTTTTGTGGAGTTTGTGTTGGAGTGTGTGTTGTGCTGGAGGCAGGTCGTTTGTTGGTGTTATCAGACTCCATGTGGTCAGCTGCAGTGCCGTCGCATAGACTGTATATAAAAAGGATAGAGGCTCGGGAGCGCGCATGCACGTCACATCCGATGGATTTCGCAGTAAATCCGACCCGGAGACTTCACATAGAAATAGGAATACCGGCCTTCAGAGGTAATAGCTAAACCCGACAAGTGGATCATTGTAATGTGTGATTACAACCCCTTCACACACAGGCAATAAAAAAAGGATTCATTTTAGAAGAAAAGTTACATATAGCACCTTTAAATAAATAAACGGTATTATTAAATTATTATTATCATTAGTTAAAATGACAGTTAAATTAATGAAAACAGGGTTTTTTTTGGTTGAACAAATGCTTTTACTACAACAAACTTGAAACCATTTGTTTGTTTTGTTTATTAAAATTTCAATAAAACATGTCTAATCAATTAAATTCAATAATTGATAATGAATTAGATTGACAACTTATTTTTAACATTAATAATTTATTAAAATGTTTAAGAATAATATAGTCCTATGAAATGTATTTTATTCAGAAAATTAATGTTTCTTTTTATGATTTAATCCAAATATATT